ACTGCAGAGAGGGATGATGTTATGTTTGTTTATTGATTTATCTTATACAAGAAGAAATGAATTTCCCTTGGCTCCTTCTGCGATGAAATGGTTTAATTAACGTTGAAACTCTGCACAGGACGCAGCAGAGCTGCTCATGGTTGGCATGGGCTACATCTATAGAATTGTTTCAGAGAAAGGAAAATGTCAGCTTGATAAAAATGGAAAGTGTTAGCGTGCCACGTGCTGCCAGGAAATGGGGCTGCTACCCTATTCTAAACCTGGATCAGACTTTTAATGAAATTCAGCTTGTTCACCCCACCCTTTCGACATTTAAAACTAATTTAGTGGGATGCCCCCCCTCCCCCCACCGAGGGCCAGCAAGTGCTGCCGCAGGAGGCTGTGGGGCTGGGGAGACATGCAGGCTTGCATTTAATAACTTGACATCACAGAAAATTGGAAAAAAACCCCAACACATATGTAGGTTTATGGTATTGCCCTCTGCAGTGGAGGCAGCTGAGCCCCGGGTGTCAGGCAACCCCTGTGCGCCCACCTGGCTGCTCTGAAATCCAGACCCTGCTGTGCCCACAAATGCAAAGCCCACTTGTGAAATCAGAGGAAAGACCCGTGATGGATGAACTTCCACAAGGACCAGCAAAGCTGCTGGCCAGCCACCAAGTGTGGAAATAGCACAGAGGCCTCTCGCTGCTGGGGTGGGGACAAGGAAGGACAACATTTCAGGTGGTGATCAAGCTGCTTTCTGCCTTACAGCCCAGGCACTGCTCTCTCATGCCAGGTATTCACAAGCATGGCTGAACTCACGCTTCCCTTCCCTGCAGGACAGCACCTTTCACCACATAGCTCTGCTACAACAACACTTCAGCCAGACCTTTACCTGCAGGTCAATACCAATCTGCTATTTCAACAACAACATCCACACCAGGGCAAAATCCTGACCCCCCTTGGGGCGACGGAGAAACCTCCCGCTGTCTCCCCACAGGCACAATCCTCACCCCACGTGAAGACACTGACAATTTTCAGCACCAGGACAATTTTCAGCCATCGAGGCTTACAGAAAGCAGCTGCTGCAGCAGAGGAGGCCGTGTCCCCAGGCTGGGTCCTCCAGCAGCCACCAGCAGGGAGCTGCCACCCCTTCCCAGACCAGCTCCTGCCGGTCACCAGCGGCGGGTGTGAATCTGCAGCTCCCCGCTAAGGAGCAGCCGATCCGATCGGGTCCAGCTCCATCAGAGCAGCGGCGTTTTGCACAAAGCTACCAGCAGCACCCAGAAACAGCCCAGAGCTTTCATCGCACCAAAATCACTTCTGTTCGGGTTTCTATTTTTAAATCTGGCTGCTAAGGGACATCACCCTTCATCTTGCGCAATTTCCCCTCTGTAGGACATCCACCAGAGAACTTCAACACTGACAAGAGAAGCCAAAAAGCACTGTGGAGGCAGACACCAGCAAAGGCAGCACAGCAGTAAATCAAATCCTCAGGAACATATTGCAGTTGTACTGAAGATAGATCTGCATGAAAGGGTCTTATTACCTTTTACTGTGAGAAACCTGAAGCAAACACTGTCTGGGAGAGGCTGCTTCAAGTTGCAGCTATTGGAGAAACACTTCAAAATCTGGCTAGAATAAAATCCATGGAAGCCACCATGCCTTGGTTCCCCTGATCACCAGGAACATCTCTGACCCTCTACATGTGTCATGCAGAGGGAGAGAGGCTGCAGAAACAATTTTAAAAGAATCACCTGAATGCCAAGCAAGCTGGTCCCAAGGCACCAGTGCTGGCTTAGATGTGCAAAGCAGCCCCTGAAATCCCACAGCTCTGGATCTGATGTTCCTCTTGGGGTCCTAAACCCAAACTTTGCCCTTCAAGAGCTGAGCCAGGGTCTTGCTTCAACTGGTGCTGCCCTAGTGTAACCCACCGCCTGTTAGAGATGTGGGGAGGCTTCCTTGTGCACAGCCTCATAGCTCTGTGG